TCCCCAAAGAAGGAAGTTCAAGGGTCACAGCTTTCTCCCAGCACCTGCAGCTTGTTCTTTGACTACTCTGGGTGTTACAGCTTGAGGGCCTCCGATAGCACTGGGGGTTTCCATCCTGGTCTTGCCACTTTCTCATCTGTAAAGTGGACTAATAGGTGTCTATTAGGTCGCTGGGTAGATTCCATAAGCAAATGCACTTAATGCACTTAGCACTGTACCTGGCACAAAATGAGCACTCAGTAAATGGTGGCTATTATATCAATGGAAGAAATGAAGCTATCCATGCAACTTCAGGTGTACCGGCCCAGGGAGAGTCACTCACAATGCATCTTTTAGGCCAGGGGTCCCCAACCTATGGTGAGTTGTATAATTATTTCAATTATCTATTACAATGTAATAATAATAAAAATAAAGCACACAATAAATGGAATGCACTTGAATTATCCCAAAACCATCCTTCCCCCACCCCACCCCCGGTCTGTGGAAAAATCGTCTTTCACAAAAACGGTTTCTGGTGCCAAAAAGGTTGGGGACCACTGTACTCTAGGCAACCATCTTCCTTGCCTTCCCAGGATAGCCCTTCAGGATAGAGCCAGACATAAGAGTCCACGTTGAACCACTGAAAACGCGATTCTTCAAAAGCTTTAAAGCATAAAAAAGAGCCTGGTGTGCCACAAAGGACTCTCCTCCAAGCCTCTGAGAATGTGACTTAGAGGCCACCCAGCTCATCCCATCATGTTTCCAAGTGACAAAGTTCAGCTGGGAGCAAAAGAGAAGGCTGCACAAGGGCAAAGTCAGGAATTTTGCCATGAATCTGAGTAGTACTGAGTTGGTCACCAGCTTTCCCAACACAGAGGAATCCACTGGGCAACATCACCAGATATGTGATCCCTTCCAATAGCAATAAATGTAGACTGATCACAGTGGGCAAAGGTAGCAAGAGTCCTGAATCCTTCGGAAGTGAGAGGGCTTCACAAATGCTGTCCTCCTCCTCCTCCTCCTCGTTCTCCATTGATGAGAGCGAAAATTTTAGTGTATTTTAAAAACACTTTTAATATGATCAAATGGCAATGGTGTCTGGCAGCTACTCCCATGGAGAGGGGCTGAGTGGAGCACACCAACCGGGGGAACCCAGGTGAGAGGGTGGGATGGAAACTCAGGCTGGGCAAAACCCTCCGATGCCAGATCCATAGTAGCTCCTGGACGGGGAAGCAGGAACTTGCTGGGTGGTCCTCAAGAGAATGCAGGCTTTAAAAACAAAGAGAGATGGACTCTGCCTTTCTGATTCTTGGAAGGGACTGATGAGATGCAGACAGCACTGGCTCGAGCAGAAAGGCTGAGAAAGGGCGTGGCTCTGGGGACAGAATATGGCAGTGTAGGGCCAGTAGAGAACCTTTGAAACAGACAGGAAAGTGCTTGTCTCAGACAAGAGCCCAAGGACTTGCAGGAAGTCAAGGACAAGCCTAGAAGACCCTGGCCAAAGAGGAGGAGCACGAGACGGGGGAGAGAGAGATCCACTGCCAGAGATGAGACTGGGAGCCAAGTCTGGGTCCAACAGACTCAAAAGTGAGGACAGCTGGCGTCTTCCTCAGACGGGGAGCTTGAGAGTGTATCTAAATCTCCACAAGCCCCAGTCTTTCTGATACAGTGGAGACAATACAGCATTTACTTCTGGAAGTTGTTGTGAGGATGACATAAATATCATGCAGGTAAAGTGCTTGGGACAGAGCAAGCAATCAGCAAATGGCAGCTAGCAATAGTATGAATTGTTGCAGAGCCAGCCAACCAGCATGTATTCATTCTGTACTTTGATTTTTTTTTAAGTAAAATCACGCTTTCTACACTTCAAATTACTTACGAACTTGTCAAGGTCAAGAGCAGGTGCTTCAATGCCTCAATTAACAGTGACCAGGGAATAGTGTACTAAGTGTTTTGGTAAAAAGACAAGGCCAGCTGTGCACTCTGAAATCAGACGTGTGTTTCCTTTTATGCCCCTGGACGCCAGGACACTTGGCACCAAATCCGATACCCAGACAGGGTAATTATATGATGGAGAGTGGGAGCCCAGGGGGAGGGGAACATCCACATCCTTTCGCTCAATATAATCTCACCAAGGCCAATGAGGTTTCCCCTCTGAATTTCCACTATAAACGCTCCTTCCAGAATTTGTCCTCAGTCTACTTTTCTAGGGAAGGATTCCAAGTTCATTTTACATCAAGTCTCAGTCCCCCAAAGCCACGTAACTGGACCTTGCCAGCTTAGCCACTGGCTGGATTACCTTCTTTGTGTCCTGCCTTGGTGTTCAACCATCCACATTTATAAAGGCTTTTGTTGTCAATGGACCCATGTTTATTGTGCCATTGTGTCCTTTATGTCAACTCCCACATGAGAAAATGATTGTAGAAAAATGTGCCAGGAAGAATTCTGCCTCCCCTAAGGAGCTGGCAGACTGTCCCCTTTCTGATCAAGAGAGCTGTGCAATTAACCTGGTTTCCATTATGTCCTGGCTGCCAGGAAGCGCAAAACCAAATTCAGTGCTCAGAGCAACTACATTAGCCAATTTCTTTCTTTTTGCTGGCTCAATTTTCTATTTGTGTGTTAACTTCAGTATACAAGGTGGTTTGCAGTAAGAGGACTCCCTCCTTAGCAGACAGGCAGGTCAAGAACCAAATAGAAGCAAAATATTCTACCCCTAATATATCTTCACCTCTTCACAGCCTGCCTCCCCCAGGAAGCCTTCTCTGATTGCCCCAGTCCAGAGATCTCTCTCTCCTCTTATTTCAGTAGCTGTTGCAGCCCTTTTGTGCAGTACTTTCAAAGGCATCCTCCTATCGGTCCATCGTTATTACACCTCCTAACTGGCACGTAAGCTAAGGCTCAAGGGCTGCCCTTTTAGTACCTTGCATAAAATCTAGCCACACATTAGGGACTCAAAGAACATGATGGGCTTGGTGGATCACCTGGAACGGAAACAATGAGGAAACAAGCCTGGATTCCCCTAAGAAATTCTACCACTCCTCCCCACATCTCTAAATGCCGGACTCCTGAGCATTTACTCAAACGTTAAACCGCACATAATGCCGCGGCAAGGATGCTCCTTGTAAATGCTTTTAGCAGATTACTCACCAGCACTGACTAGCTATTTCTGTCTTACTCCCGAGATCATAACCGAGGCACTTCTATACTTAAATCAAAAGAGTGTAATAACTGACATTTCAGATTACAGCTCAGCGGAGGTCTGCCCTTACAGGGATGGCGCTAATTGCTGAATTTGAGGAACAGCGAGCATCTCCCAGCCGCTGCCGCCCTTGCTTCCTGCGGCAGCTCAGGTGCGAGGGGAGAGGCCCAGTCTCCTGAGGGCTGAGCAGCGCAGGAAGCCTGGCGGCAGCGTCCCAGGTCCGCAGCCCTGCACTGACACGGGTAAATCAGAGCCATCTGGCTGGCTCGGCTCCTTGCACGTGTGTCAGCCCCGCGGCAGCCTCCACGCCCCCTCAGCCTAACGCTCTCCCCGTGCACGGAACCGCAGCCGCCGCCTTTCAACGCGGAGCAGCTCGTGACGCCTTAGACAGATGACCCCACATAGCGCTCATTTGTCATTTATGGACACGGCCTTGTTCCGGCATGTTCTTTTCCTGCTTGTATCTAGTGCAGGCATTCTCAACGCAGGGCAGGGGTAAGCATCCAGGCTCCACTGGGGAGAGGGGAGAGTTTGGAGAGTCGTATTCAAAAGTACCTTTAAATAGCTGAATTCACTTGGTGATTTCAAACGTCACGTGGGAGGCAGGACACCATGCTCTGATCCTCTCCCATGGTCGCTTCATCAGATTGCTCCCTTGTTCAAGAAATCATACCTGACTCCCCACAAAATCACTTCGCCTTCAAGGTGGAAGGAGCCAGCAGGTGTGCAACCCCTGCAATCTACACATGAGGAGACTGAGGCCTGAAGACACTAGGTGACTCACCTGAGACCCAGCTTAATAAGTCTTTCAGCCAGCAAATGCTTAATGAGCATCCACTGGGTTCCAGGAAGTGTTCTAGGCTCAAGGCATACAGCTGTAGATAAAACAAAGGCCCTGTCCTTATGGAGCTCACAGAGCCTACATTCTAGTGGAGGACGGAAAAATAAGCAAATAAACAGACACTTATCTATGTTAGGTGGAGGGGAGGAAGGGACTGCAATTTTCAATGTGATGGCCAGCAAAGGACTCTCTGATGGGGTCCCATTTGAGCAGAGACCTGAAATGTGTGAGGGAGTGAGCCAGGTAGACATCTCAAGGAACAATGTTCTGGGAAGAGTTGTCTCAACAAGTTCAAAGGCCCTGGGGTAGGGGCAAGCTAGAAGTAGTTCCTTAAACTTTTGGTCAGGGGTTCTCCCTACTGTATCCATTGCTTGTTTGCTAATGATCTTGTCATTCAGGGTCCTGCCCAATAGCAGATAACAATAATAACAATAACAACAATAATAGTAGCAATACCATTTATTGAGCACTTACATGCCAGGCATGGTTCTAATGCTTTTCATACATTAACTCATTTTCTGTTCACTGCAACCCTGTGAAGTTATTCCCATTTTACAGATGAAGAAACTTGAGGTACAGAGAAGTTATGTCATTTGCCCAGAGGTTGCCCAGCTGCTGAATGGTACAGCCGGGACATGCAGCCAGGCAGTCTGGCGCCTGCTCCCATTTCCTTGACCACCGGCCCATCTAGCCTTAGTTCTTGACTTTAGCCTTTGCCAACATGTACCCTTGGCCTTCTCCGCACCGGCCTCCCCTGGTTCCTCGCCACAGCTTGTCGACTCTGTCTCTGAGGCCGAGCTTGTTTGGCGCCTCACTGCCTTCAACATTCTCTCCGCTCGGCCAAGCGATCCGACGGGGATGTGGATCTCAGAGCTCTCCCTGACTGTCCTCAAAGGCAGATCCTTTGTTTTCACCCGCATCGGCCTCCATCAAAACTGGCCTCGTGTTCAGTTGTAACAGTGACCTTTCCCTGCCACCCTGAGCTCCCAGAGGCTGTTTTTCTCCTCTCACTTCCGCTGAAATGAATTAATTCCGGCTTAGGGATGGGAACATATAAGTTCGCAATAATGGCTTATTTAACTGAACTGCACCAATCTCTCAATTATCACTTTTATTTATGCTTAACAGCTTTACTGAGGTACAATGACACACAACGAGTTGAGTATACTTAAAGAGTAAACTTCAGTTTGGGCACACATGTACACCTGTGGAACCATCACCATAAACCAGCTTATGAACACATCCTCCAGCCCCCAAAGTTTCCTCATACACCGTTATAATCTCTCACTCCCGCCCCTCCCACACAACCTCCATCCCAAGGCAACCACTGTTTCACGTTCTGTCGCTACAGACTAGTTAGCATTTTCTAGAATTTTGCATGAATGGAATGACATAGTATGCATTCTTTTTTGTCTGGCTTTTTTTACGCAGCATACTTATTTTGCGATTCATCCATTCATTGCTTTTTACTGCTAAATAGTATCCCATTGTATGGATATACCACCACTTGTTTATCCCTTCTGCCTTGATGGACAATCGGGACGTTTCCAGCTTGAGGCTGTGACAAGCGAGGCTGCTATGAAGGTTCATGCACAAGACTTTGCGTGGACAAATGCTCTCATTTATCTTGGGTAAATACCTGGGGGTGGAATGGCTGGATCACATGGTAGGTTTATGTTTAACTTTTTTAAAAACTGCCAAAATATTTCTCAGAGAGATTATACAATCTCCACTTTTCTACGCCTGAAACTTTGCACTTTCTCATCCTCTCCAATCCACCCCAGTGTGTCTGTTCCAGCTGAATCCCCTGGAGCCCGGGAACAGGATACCCTTAATCCTCTTCTTCCTCTTTGCTCCATCCTCTGGTGTTTGCAGATATGCTTTTTCGAAGTCCGGGATCCTAGAAAACAGGGTGGATCTCCATCTGATAAGCAAATGTTTATCTCTGTCTTAACCTGACTCATCTCCATCAGTCTCACCAAGAACTGGAGTCAGCATCATGTTTTAAGAATTCTGTTGCCACCCTTCCCTGCGGTCAGTCTGTATAGTCTTTGGCAGTTCATTGTGTGTCTAGTAAACGCCCAGAAGCCTGTGGTTCCAAACTAATTAGCTGCACCTCCTTATTACGCCCAGCAGTGGGGATCTAAAGTCTCCTCTGATCTTCCCAACATGGGATCTGCTCTCCGTCCCCCTCCCTGCCCCACCTTCCCCAGTTCTCCGAGTACCACCCAGTTCCAGCTGCCTCTAAACAACTTTCTCCTGATGACTGCAACGCCAGGGAGCTCTCCCCCCTCTGAACCCAGAGAGCCCCTGTCTGCGCCAATTCTGTAGTACTCGCTAAACACAGCAGCCTTGCATTTCACTGGGCAACTGCTTTTGAGTCGCCGATAGATTATGTAAAGCCCAGCGCCAGGGCTAAGGAGGCTAGAGAACAAAACCAAGTGTAAATGCTGCCCGCGTACAAAATGAAGCCCAGATCAGGGATTAAACACAGCTACAGCTGAAATAGTTCTAAATGTCCTGGTAATTGCCATAGGAAATTTGAGCCAAATATAGGAGGGGGGTGGTGGTTGGCATTGCCAAGCAGGAAAAGGTGAGGAGCAGGAAGCGGATAAGCATTTCCCAGCAAAACAGCAGCCATTAGTGGTCACGGCAGAACGAAGCGCAGCAGCCTGGGCAGGTTAGATGTGCTGTGACACTCGGGACCGTCTCTGATGTGCTTTTGCACTATGTGCTTAACCCAACTCACCACAAAGACACTTCCCTTCCCTCTCTTCCCTGGACTGCAGTCATGTATTTCTTGCACATTTATTGAGTGCCACTGTATACCAAATAGCCAATGGTCTATATCACTGCCCCTGAGGATCTTCCAGTCCAGAGGAGAGTAAGGACAAGGCAACAGCCATTACAATCCAATGTGGTCAGTGCCCTGACTGGGGATGCCCTGTGGCCACAAAAGAGGTGCAAAGAGGACTGTTAGCACCATCCCCAGGGGGGCAGAAGACAGTTTGCCCTAACATGAGGCCATCAGCCCACACACGCCCCTCACCCAAAGCCGTCCTTGCCGAGGCCTGGCCACATTACTTGCAGCACCCTCGTGCAAAGCGTTGCTGCTCCCCCACCTCGAGCCAGTGGTAGAAATTCCCCCGATGCCCCTGACGATCAGGTCCCAGGGAAGTCCTCCCCTCCTGGCAGCCTAGCACCTCGGCCACCTCGACGCTGGCAGCCTCTCCTAGCACCGCGCTGTGGGCCATATGGCAGTGCAGCTGATGCCGCGTGACGCAGGACAGCTTTGCTCTCCAGTCCACGTCAGCCCTGGTCACGGGTACAACGTGGCATTTAAATTGCAGCGAGGGACCTTTGGTTCGGATGGGGAAGCTAAATTAGAAGCCTGTAACATGTTCAAAACACCTACGTGACGGATGAGCACAGAGGCCGGCGCGAGGGGGGCGGGCACGCACATCAGCATTTATTTATCATACTTCTGGCCAGAAACCAGGCCACCCAAGCGGACTAGGTGTGTGGGGGAGCTCATGGAGCCTGGAGCTCAAAGGACTATTTTCCCTCCAAAGAGCCTCAGTGAAAGCCGGAATATTAACAGGAAGAGAGAGAAACCCGTGGAGAACAAATAAAGCGCCTGCCCCAAACACTGTGGACGACAGCTACAGCCCGGAGTCCTCGGGGCCAACAACTCCTCTCCCTACCCTGGGCAACTTAGTTGCTCTATAAACATTTTCTAACAGCTACACACTCACACGTGAAAACAGTTCACCAAAGTCACATGCCTAGCCTCCTTGCCTCTCCAGATCAAAGGAAACAGAATCAAGTAAAAGCACCTGAGCTGGCAACCAGGCTTGCGTGCTCCTCCCAGATCAGAACCCCAAACCTGCTTCCTCTACCTCCAGATGCATTTCACCAGCTCTGGGGAACCAGCAAAAACTATCCCCCCAAGCCCCAAAGAGCAAATTCTAAGGGAAAGGTACCTAACAATCAAAGGCAATGTGAATATAGGCCTTGGCCATCTCCTTGTTGAACTGGGAAGAGTTTTTTTGAACAACTGGGAAAATTTGAATATGGTTTGAGTATTAGACGATACTTAGGAACTATTGTTGGATTTATTAGTTGTGATCATGGTTTTGTGGTTATGCAAGAAAACATCTTTATTATTTTAGACATGCAGTCAGAAAAATATTTGGGAGGGAAATGTTAGGATGTTTAGGGTTGGCTTTAGAATAATTGTGCAAGAAAAAGATAAAGCAAATATGTTAAAAATCTAGATGATGGGATATGGGAGTTCATGATTCAACTCTCCATATTTTTATAGGTATGAACATTTTAATAACAAAGTCGTTTGTTTTTAAGCTTCTGACAGGGAAGAATGCTACAGGCACACCAGCTAGGGGGAGGGTAGCAGCCTGACTACAAAGGAAGGATCTGAAAATACAAAATGCAAACCAACACCTCACATAGCCTAGGTCAGCCTTGATGGGTTCTTGGTCTCAGGACATCCTGAATCACAGCCAGCCACAATAATTATATTGTAATTGTGACTATGGATCAAGAAGATACTAAATTATTTTTCAATATATTGGAATACAAATGAATAATTTCTACTTAAAAACATGACAAGAAATGTTTTAGTTTAGTTTCAAGTTAGCACTTAAAGGGATGTAAAGTTTCCTGTAAAAATTCCTGTAAAAATTCCCTGGTACAGTGGTTGTGTAAGTATGGTCCCTGACCCAGCACGGTCAGCTTTACCTGAGAACTTGTTAGAAATGCAAAGTGTCATGCCCAGAGCTGCCCAGGACCTCCTCTGTCAGAAACTGGGTGGTGGCGGAGCAGTCCGCTTTAACCAGCCTGCAGGTGAGCCTAGTACTCGTTGTCCTGGAGAGCTAGGTGACCCAGACGTTACTCTGAGCCTGTTACACACACAGCAGAGGGTATACATACACACACCGTGCTCAGATAAACTCTGCCCTGGCCAGGGAAGCAGGTGGGGGGAAGAAACAAAACAACATAGCCCGTGTTAAACGTGTGTGCCACGGGGAAGCCCCCAGAAACCCCGAGGAGCCTCCTCCTAAGTCTATACTCCAGGAAGCCCCATAAACAGCCGGTGCCCCATCCGCAGTTCAAAGGATGCAAACTCCATTAAAATGAATCGTAAAAGGCTTATATAACCCATTAAGTCCCAACTACTCAAAACTCCACTGACTGTTCTCGCTGGAGCGGGCTGCCAGCTTCTCCAGGCACACGAGGTGGGGGGAGGCACCTGGGTCAGGGCGACCCGACTGCCTGCCTGCATGGCACAAAGAAAGGATAATGCGCCTGCAGGTGCAGGACACGAGGAGAGGAAGGAAGGACATGGCAGAAAAGCCAGTCCCTGCTTTCCCTGCTTCGATGTTTAATTCATGAAATTACAGAATGTTCTAGCTTAATAACAGAGATCACTGAGGCCAGCTTCCAGATTTATTGATGAGAAAACAGGCTCAGAGAGGTGAAGTGATTATCCTAATGCCACACAGCCAGTGAGTGCAGAGGAGAAAGAAAGTCCTGCCTCCCTGAGTCCCAGTGCTGAGTTGGCCCCGTCAAACGTGGGGGGAGGAGAGGGCGGGAGGTATCTAGGTGGCTGCTGGAGGTAAAGAGGAAGGCACCATAGAACAGAGTTAAGGGTATAGACCCTGAAGCCAGGCTGCTTGGGTTTGAAACTCAGCTCCTCTACTTACAGGCTTTGTGGCTTTGGGTAAATTAATTTCTTGGTGCCTCAGTTTCCTATTCTGTAAAGTGGGGATAATAACAACATCTGCCTCGCAGTGGGAATGAAACTAAATGCGAGTGAAACCAGGTGAATATTTAGCATGTAACAAGCATTCAATAAATGTTAGTTATTCCACGGGACATTCACTTGTTTTCATGTTAACAGTGGTTAGCTTTGGAAAATAGAGTTAGAATGGACTGGGGTGGGGTTGCAGGAAATTTCTGTACTTTCAAAAATGTGTTTTCAAAAATATGCTCTGGTAATTTTTAAGTCAGTTACATTCCTTGGGTGTGTATTAATCACATTTCTGTCTGCACAACCTGGTGCTAAAAGCTGTGGGAGATCCGAGAAGAGGAGAAGCCACAGGCCTTCCTTTAGAGGCCTGACTTCTTTGAAATGTTTAGAGAAATAAGTTAGACACAGGAATTGTTTAGAAACAAACTTAGTGCCAGATGTCAAATGAAGATTTTATTTATGTATACACACACACACACATATGTAATATGTACTTTATATGCATAAACACACACATATACATGCTTAGCACTCCAGGTCAATGGCGGGTACCATTTTAATTCAATTCAATAAATAACATGGAAACTTTCTCTGTGCAGGGCCCTATGCTAGGGTATAAGAGGGATGTAGAGATTAACAAGACATGGTCCTGTTCTCAAGAAATCTGCAGTCTAGTTGGGAAGGCAGGTATGTACAAAGAGTCCTAATATATGATATGATATGCTATGATGATAACAGAACAATTACCAGACGGCACTCACACATACTTTATTATCTCAGTTAATATCATTATGCATGATGAATACACTATACATAATATTGTATATATTATAATTATATCATATAGATAATATTACAATATTCACTTCAGTCATGTATTATATCAGTTAATCCTCAAAACAACCCCATACTATTACACCAGATGAAAAAAAAACGTGCAAAAGAAATGAGCATAGCTTTGCCAGTGATGGTATGCAGGAGGTCATTCCCAGCAGAGGGAAGAGTATGAGCAAAGGCACAGAGGCTGGAAGGCCCAGGGGGTTTGGGGGACCCAAGGTGGTCGGGAGGGGTGGAAGGGAATGGGTTCATGGGGAACAGGATGGGAAGAGAAACCAGAAGGGAAAGGAGGTGAGATGCAGAGGGCCTTAAGTGCAAAGCTAAGGAATTAGAGCTCTCTAGTCTCGGTGGTGGGGATGCTCAGAAGGGTCCTATGATGAGCTGTGCATGATCAATGCTGCTCTGGTAACAATATTCAGGATGTCTTTGAGAGTAGACAGGAGAGAAAAAGACCACTGAGGGGCCTCCATTACTGTTCCAGGAAATGGTGTGGGGCCTGGTCTAAATCATGGCACCAAACACTTGCCATGTACGTGCTACTAGTACGTGTTTAGCAACTCCCACATGCAGGCACCGTTCTATGTACCTCTAAACCTCGTAAAATCCTCAGAACGACCCAGTGATGAAGATACTATTCCCATCTAATGGAGGAAGAAAACTGAGGCATAGACATATTGAATAACTTGCCCAAGGCCAAAAACAAGGAACTTAACACCATTTCACTTAATCCTCCCAACAACCAAAGTCACAAAACTTGTCCAGGCACTTTCCCAGCAAGTTTCTCTGATCCCAAAGCTGCACTCACCTTGGGACTCTGCCCCTGGTGCTGTGGCACAGCTCTCGCACCAGGGCCTTGGGACTGTCTTAGCGCCCTGGCACAGCTCTGCACCAGGGCCCTGGGACTGTCCTAGCGCCCTGGCACAGCTCTGCACCAGGGCCCTGGGACTGTCCTAGCGCCCTGGCACAGCTCTGCACCAGGGCCCTGGGACTGTCCTAGCACCCTGGCACAGCTCTGCACCAGGCCCATGGGACTGTCCTAGCGCCCTGGCATAGCTCTGCACCAGGGCCTTGGGACTGTCCTAGTGCCCTCACACAGCTCTGCACCAGGGCCTTGGGACTATCCTAGCTAGCGCCCTGGCACAGCTCTGCACCAGGGCCTTGGGACTGTCCTAGTGCCCTCACACAGCTCTGCATCAGGGCCTTGGGACTGCAAATTTTGGTATGGGAGGAAGGAACTATGAAAGGTATATAACAGGACCCACAAGGCCACACATATTGTATGATTCCATCTATATGAAATACCTGGAGCTAGCAAACCCCTAGAAACAGAAAGCAGAATAATGTTTGCCGGGGGCTGGGGAGGGATGAACAGAGACTTACGGCTTAGTAGGTACAGGGTTTCCTTTTGAGGCGATAAAAATATTCTGGAACTAGACAGTAGTGATGTTTATACAACACTGTGAGTGTACTAAATATCACTAAAGGTATATTTTATATGTATCTTACCACAATGTTTTTAAAAACCCTAACAGGACAGAACAACTCTTTGGGTGTAGGGACAAAGGAGCTGTTGGAGATGACACGTTATTCACCACTTTTACTTCAGAGCACAGGAAAATCAACCATGCTGAAAGAGCTCAGGCTACAAACAAATAAGGTCTCCTTTAGTACGGAATATACGTTCTCCTCAGAAATGACCTCATCCTTTCATACAGTTTTTGACCCCTACAAATATCTCTGGAAAAAATACCAAGTGTGGGTAAAAGTTAGAGGCACTCATCTTGACTTCCTTTTTCAACCTGTGTCCTACCTTCCTGTAGCACCTGTAATGAAGAGGTGGCTTAATGCAGCATGTGAGAGCAAAGACTTCGGAACAAAGCAGAATCATGTTCACGTCTGAGTTCCATCGTCCACCAGTTGTGAGATTCTGGAGAATTCATTTTGCTTCACTAATAATAGTACCTACACTTGATGTATTCTTACAAAAATTAAATGAGATAGTGTTCATAAAATATTTATTAAATGTTCATTATAGGTGCTGTAATGTTAAAAAAAAATACACAACCCACATTGTATGAATGTCGTTTCCTATCCAGTACCATGGGATCCATCTTTGAGACTGGTGAAGCCCTGTCATAACAACTTCCCTTAATTTATGTTGGGCATTCATCTGAGTGCTGGGCTGTGTGCTATAGCAGAACTGCATCCTCTGAGCTACAAGCCACATGCCAATGATGCCCATTCGATTCCCATGTCAACTGAGCCCTAGGAGCTAGAATAACACATCATCCAAAGATCACATCTCTTGGCCATGGGTCGCACTGTACAATTTGTTTGTAGCATATATCCTTCCTAAATATGTTTTGCTCAGCCTAATATTAGATTGCCTTTTCTGAGCACATACCCACAGTGGGTCAGGGAAGATGGTTCAAGAACATATTAAAATCTTGTTCCCTCTCTGTTTTCAGAGTTCTGATAGCCTACACTACACCATTTTACTTGGTTTTCAAAAGCACAATATCTCTCATTGCCCTTCGGTTGCCTTTGCCACCCAATCTGGCACCCCTAGAGTCCACTCCTTTAGGGCGGGGCGGTGTCTTCCCTTCCCCCTGAATCCAGCACACTGAGCCTTTCCTGCCCAGTACAAGCTTCCTGTTGAATGGAATTGATTAATGCGGGTGAGCAGCTCTGAGAAGACCCAAGCTAGAAACAGGAGAGATGAGTATCTGATCTCCCAGTGACGACTGGGCAAAGGAACCCCAGGTATGTGAGTCATGCCGACACTCAAACGTGGATGAAGATGGCGATTTGCAGAGTCAGGGATGCTGGCAGTGGCCTGCTTGCCAGGCACAGGGGTTTCTTTAATGAAAGCCAGAGAAGAAGAGTGATGAGCAACACGTGTGTGAAGCTTGCTTGCTCTCTCTCACGCAGCCTGGAGGTGCAGGGGGTGACGCAGGGAGTCACACAGAATCGGCTTCACATCCTGGTTCTGCCCCGTACTAGGCCAGGGAACCCTGAATAAATTATTTGACTTCTCTGAGCCTTAATTTCCTCATTTGCAAAATGGAAGTGACACTGCATACCTTACAGGGTTGTTGCTGGTTTTACATGAGATGGAAACTAGCATATATCCATACATTTAAAACATTTCTTTCGAATTGTCTGCCAGCTAGCATTTCAGGACCCTGAGTCCGGTGCAGGCTCCTGCAATACTCAGTCAATGATTACCAATGCGTTCCCTATCAAAAGTACCTAGTTGTTGCAAATCATTTATCTGATAACGGGTTAATATCCAGAAAATATATATTGAACCCCTGCAACTCAACAGCAACAAGACCTGATTTAAAAGTGGGCAAAGGTCTTGAACTGTCATTTCTCCAAAGAAGAAATACAAATGGCCAGTAAGCACTTGAAAAGATGTTTAATATCACTCACTAATCATTACAGAAAAGCAAACTGTGGCTACTATAAAAAAAATAAAAGAAAAGAATTGGAACCTTTGTACACAGGTGGTAGGAATGTAAAATAGTGCTACCACTATGAACGATAATGTGGCACGATAATTTTCCTCAAAAAATTAAAAATAGAATTACTATATGATCGAGCAATTCCATTTCTGGATATATACCCAAAAGAATTGAAAGCAGGGTCTCACAGAGATATTTGTATACCCCTGTTCATAGCAGCGTTATTCACAATTGCCAAAAGGTGGAGGCAGCCCAAGCATCCATCAACAGAAAAACAAACTGTGGTCTGTACATACAGTGGAATATTATTCAATCTTAAAAAGAAAGGAAATTCTGATGCATGCCATAACACGGATGAACCCTGAGGACCTTATGCTAAGTGAAACAAGCCAGTCACAAAAAGATGAATACTGTATGATTCCAATTATGTGAGATATCTAGAGTAGTAAACTTCAAAGAGACAGAAAATAGTAGAGTGGTTTCCAGGGGCTGAATGAAGCGGGAATGGAAGTTAGTGTTTAATGGGTCCAGAGTTTCAGATTTGCGAGGAAAGGTGTTCTGGAAATTGGAGAACAATCAACAATGCAAACATACTTACTATCACTGAACCACACACTTGGAGACTGGATGCACAACAATGCAAACGTACTTAATTTACACTGAACTATACACTCCACAATAGGTACAATGGTCAATTTTATGTTATGTGTATTTTACCAGAATTTTGTTTTTTAATTTGCAAAAAATAAGGACCCAGTTGTTTCATATTATGTACTATGGGGATGCAAGAGAATGAGAAACAAATGTCTTGGCCTCAAGACGTTACAATCTCTAAGGAAGTGAGATGAGCACATGCGAAATGAAGCAGGGTGAAACCCAGTGTGGGTCAGTACAGGAGAAAGCAGAGAAGCATGTGATCTGTGCAGCTGCACGGATGGGGACCCTGCAGGGGGTCGCACAGGGATCGAGGCCTTCAAAGGTAGGAAGAGTCTGGCAGGGCTTAGGCCATAGAGGAGGGCATTCCAGGAGAGGAGACTTACAGGCAGGAAGGTGATGGCACGTTCCTGAGACAGTGAGGAAGTCTGTCTCCTCGGAGGGAAGGAGCACACTGAGAAATCACTTGGGTAGACAAGATAGAGATGTGTCACGCAGTCTTGAATTAAAGCTGGGTAAAATATCCATGTGCAGCTGCAGGAAAACAGGGGCACTGAACACTGGAGAAGGTGCATGATGTAAGGCCTTGCATTTATACAGCACACATCTCTCCTAAGTCCTGGCACAAGCCATGAAAGATTAAGTAGCACCATCCACATTCTAGCCAGGTAGAGCAAGGTGAGCAACTCATCTGATGACATGCACCTTCTTGGCTACAGAGTTGGGAATGGATCCACTCCTGACTCCAAGCATTACAGTATAAGCTTTTCATAGTCTTATTCTTCCTTGTGTAAATATTTATTGGGCACCCATTGTGTGCCAGGTGCCCTCCATGACAGTGAGGATGAGGATGGCAGAAAGAGCAGATTTGGGGAGGAAAACCAGGAGTTCAGTTTTGCATATCAGAAGTGTGAGAAGCCTGATGGACACCCAGACTGTTGGATATATGTCTGAAGTTCAGAGGAGAGGTTTGGACAGCAGTGAAAACTTGAGAATCATCAGTATATAGGAGATATTTAAAGCTATGGGACTGGATATAGCTGATAGCGTTCCCTACAGATACAATGAAAAATGAAAAGAAAGAAAAAGAAGGGAAGAGGAGGGGAGAAGGAGAGAAGGAATGTCTCAGAAAGCAGAGATGGCATACTTAGGATTGCTACCTAATTTCTGTCAGTTCCACTGCCCGATTTCTTTTGGCTATCACTTGTGGGTACGTGATAATTGGCATATTAATTTATGGAAAAGAAAAAACATCTTAGCACGATAAAAGCCCACAGGCTTGTGACTCCATCTATAATGACCTCTTAGGCCATCCATTTAAATCAGTGCAGTGACCCAGGGCTAGAGAGAATTGAAATATGGTAGAAAAGAAATTAGATGCGGAGCAAATTAAAATACAGAAACTGGAACTCTGATTCTCAGGGAGAACCCTGATATTGTTCTGATTTCCCCAACTCACCACTGTTCCAATACTGGGGACGTTCTCAGGAGCTGGTCCACAGGTATATCCCTGTCTTTGGGCTCCGTGGGAGACAAACCTAGAACGCTGCTCAGGGTCCACCTCTCCATTTCCCATTAACCACCAGAAACAAACTTAACTGGGATGATAGGTAAGATTGGAATTTTCTTTAAGACCATACCCAGCTCTGTTTGGGGGGCAGCCTCATTTCAACAAGAAAGCTTCCCCAAATTACAGCCAGCTAGAAGTCAGGTCCCACAGGACAGAGGGAGTGATGCAGGCAGGGTTGAGGGCAGCAGGGATGAGCAAGGGAAACACAGCAGAACAGATGGGTAAGAAAGCTCGCCAAGGCGGGGACTCCAGGCAAAGTTCTGGAAGTGCTGCCGAGAAAGGTGGGGTGGGCCTGCCTGAGCACAGCGGGATGAGGGCATCTGTGTCCCCGGCCGCCTCAGCCCCCAGCACTAGCGACCCAGCACCATCTGCCTCACGCGCTGCAGGAAGGAGGAGGAGACACAGAATGGAGTGGATTCCAGGACCCCCAGAACAGACAGCGATAATCACAAGATGTGATTGATCTCAGAGTCCCCAGAAAATGACCCTCCCTGCCCTGCAAACCTGCCCTCCCCACCCCACCACCTAGCATCCCGCACCAGTGCCTGAAATTCTGCTCAGGGAAAGTCATTCCTTTGGGTTACACCAGCAGGCACGTCACCAGGAGCACTTTGAAAAATACAGATTCCAGGGCACCACGTGAGACACACAAATCGGAATCGCCAGGATTGAAAAACCAGGCAAATGTATTTTTAAAACCACTTCATGGGATTCTGATGTGTGGCCAGAGTTGAGAGAAAAACATTGCCTTCTCTAGGAAATTTCTGGAAAGAAACACTTGCAGACTCTCCCCTCGATACGGTCCTAATAACAATCGCTACCACTGATTGAGAATTTCCCGGGTTCCTGTTCCTGAGCTATGAACTCCACACACATGGTCTCTATTATTTCTCATGACAAACACCATGGCTGGTGTCATTATAGTCCCACTTCACAGACAGGGAAACTAAGCTCAAACACATAAAGCAAGTAACCCAAGGTTACTCAGTTTGTGATGGTTCAGGATTTGAAGCCAGGGCTATCTGCCTCTTTCCTGTGAGTCATTTTTATTAGATGCACTATCTAAAAAAACCCAGCCAAATCCACAGTCCACTGAGCTCCCAGCAGCCAGGCTCGTTCCTGCACACTCGGGTCTCTGCGCCCTTCACCAGGCCCAAGGATGAGGTCACTCTGGCGCTCGGGCCGTCTCTGGCCAGGCCAGCTTCCTAG